CCTCCCAGGTTTACTCTCAATAAACCTGCCTGCTGTTGAAGCCAAGACTTTCTCCTTCGTCTCTTTCTTTTCCTTACAATAAGGTTTTCTTGATTGTAACCTTTATAGAAGCAGATCACCAGGCCTTTGGGTGGGTTTGAACCAATAACCTTTCTGTTTTAGCAGAAATCAAACCATCTTACCACCCACAGACCTTTTACACTTGAGGCTTTCTGCCCCTGTAAAGATTTACAGCCTTGGAAACCCTGTACAGGGTCGCTATGGGTTGGAACCAACTTGACCGCACACAACAACAACACATTCACTTATACAGTACTGTCTTTGGGTCTTCCACGGTACTAAGCACAGTGTAAGTGCACGAAATATTTCTTTCCACCATAGTCAAATTCTAAATGTAAAGGAATACAGTTAAGAAAATTAGTCCTTGTGATCCTATATAAGTAAATATACACATCTTTGTCATGGTTTCCATTTCCAGTTTGTAGAGTCTTCAGCAGGACCTCCATAGTTGTATAATTTGCACTTTGTTTCTGCTTCAGTGAGCCATATTTCTTGTAGTATACAAATGACCTGTCTCTCACATTTGGATAAAAGAGGGAATGTGATCTTTTGCTCCTTCATATCCCTTAAAAACTCCCTAATTGGATCCAATTCAAAGAAGACAAGAGTTATACTGAGGTGATGTTTTCTTTTGTTATATCTAAACTGAGGCTAATGAGAAAGAAAGGTTGACTTATTTTTTGTAATAATTTAAATTCAGCTTGTTTTTAAAACTGTACTGGAGATGGAATTGAATTGTTGACCAAAATGTCATTCCCACTCCTGGGCTGTGTGAGAACTGGCTCAGTTTATGGCACGTCATGTGATATGTGGCACTTTTCTTATTCCACTTCACCTTCACCCCAAACCACATCCTCATTCTGTGCCTGAGCGTCAGTTGACTGAACTTATTTCTAAAGTAAATGGGCTTCTGAGGCATGATATGTTGTTTGCATCCTGTAATATCTCTTTTCAATAAGTCATTCCATGCATCGTCATAATGAGAATAGTATTCCATATAGAAACCCAGCAAATAGGCTTCTAAATGAGTAGTACAAGGACAGCCTCTCCCACTGCATTCCTGGACACTGGGACGGGGATCCAGAGGGAGAATAAGTAAGGAACATGCTTCAAGATTAAGTAAAAGTGGTCTCCAGTCCTGGGAGACGTGCTCAAGATTACCTCACCCTGAGTATAGGAGCTAAGAGCACCAGGAAGATAAGCCTGGCTCTTCTCTTTGCTCTGTAAAATGTCTGAAGGTTCCAGAGGAGTAACCTGCAACCACTAAGATGACAAATAAGCATGAATCAGCCTCTACCTGAATCTACCTGCTCTGAGAGAAAGAACTTTGCCTTTTCAGATTTCATGGCTATTTCCATAAATCTGCTCCTGGCAATAGGTAACTGACCAAAAACATTGAAAGGAGGTATCTGTCCCAAGCCATGGTATTTTCAGTAGCCTCATCTGCTGCATTGAGCCATATTTGAAAGTTGGATAGTGAATAAAGAAGACCACAGAATTGATGGATTTGAGTTATGGTGTTGGAGGAGAATATTGAAAGTGCCATGAACCGCCAGAAGAACAAATAAGTCTGTGTTGGAAGAAGTACAACCAGATTGCTCCTTAAAAGACAAGATGGCCAGACTTCATCTCTCATACTTGGAACATATTATCAGAAGGGACCAGTCCCTGGAGAAGGATATCATGCTTGGTAAAGTAGAGAGTTAGCTAAAAAGAGGGAGACCCCCAACAAGGTGGATTGGCACAGTGGCAGCAACAATGGGCTCAAGTGTAGCAGCAATTGTGAGGCTGGTGCTGGTCTACGGCAGTGTTTTATTCTGTTGTACATAGGTCGTTCTGGGACGGAACTGACTCGATGGCACCTAACAACAACAATCTGAAGACAGTATCTGCATGTCCCTTACTCCATAACGGGAAACACCCTGAAGTTTTTTTCTATTTTCATTGTAGCCATCATGGTGCCCAGAGATCTAGGACGCAGACAGATGACAAGGTTCCAGGAGAGCACAGGGCTGGAGGAGGAAAAGGGCTGCTGGCAAGAACAAGCCAGCCATCATACTCCTCTCCCAAATTTATTTCCACAACCACTCATGATTCTGCCAAGATGGTAGAAAGCGTTCCCAAGAGGGATACACTCCCAACATTGCCCAATGTTGTTCAATGCCGTTGAATCGGTTCCAACTCACAGCGACCCTGTATAGGCTTTCCAAGGAGCAGCTGGTGGAATTGAACCATCAGCCTTGTAGTTAGCAGTCTAGTGCTTATCCTGCAGTGCCACACCAGAATTCCCCAATGTTGTTGTTGTTGTTGTTAAGTGCCATCGAGTCGGGTCCGACCCATAGCGACCCTGTACAGGGTTTCCGAGGGTGTAAATCTTTACGGGAGTAGAAAGCCTCATCTTTCTCCCGCGGAGCAGCTGGTAGTTTCGAACCGCTGACCTTAAGGTTCGCAGCCCGATTCGTAAATACATCATTTAAAATAAAACTTTTAGGAGACTTGTACAAGGTCAAGCATATCCACTAGAGGGAGCCCCAATCGATTTTATGTTGCAGGGAGCCTAGCAAAGTAGCTTCTTGGCACCTGTCTGAAAATAAACCGCAAAAGGGAATGGGGAAGTGAGGCAATAGATTAAGTCACCAAAAGAGAAGATAGCCATGTAAATTACCCAGTTAAAATCTAGGCTTTCCAATATTTACAGAATCAAAGATTTAAAACCCAGGAACCTGAGGCTGACCAAAGTTGAATGACTTGTTCAGGTTTACAAACATCTCCAGACAGTGGGCTAGAACTTCGTAAATCCTCTCTAACCAATACCCCTTCCACTACATCTGCATCCCTCTTGGTGAGCATCCTGGTGGCCATGGGCCCTTTTCTCCCCTGTGCCTCATTTCTCTCAAATGGAAACTCTCTCCTACCTGCTTCTATGATGTTAAGTGCCATCGAGCCAGTTCTGACCCACAAAGGTCCTGTTTAGGGTTTCCAAGGAACAACTGGTAAGCTTGCACCACCAACCTTGCAGTTCAAACTGACATTGCAGTTCAGTGCATTGATCTGCTTCTGTAGTTCCTTCATATGCCACAGAAGGGGATTTTGAGTTTTAAACTTAATAATGTCATTTTGCAGAGTCTTGGTGTGGTGCTATGGGTTAATGCACTGGTCTATAAAGTCAGTTTGAACCACAAGGTCAGTGGTTCAAGCTCACTAGTTGCTCCTCAGAAACCCTATACAGGGTCATTATGGGTCAGAATCGACTCAATGGCACTTAATGACAACAACAATGTCATTTTGCAGATGGGACCTAGGGATATAAATTGCCCAACACGGCTATCATCAGTCCTTTTCCTCTGCATCAGCACAATAGTATTATTTTGGGTGTGTAAATATGTCATTTGTACATCTTCAAATTGCAGACAATGCCTACAGGGAAGTGAGTCATAGTAATCAGCTCCAAAGCACTTTCTTCTCAGACTACACCTTGAATCTGGAGCTGAGGAGAGGACTGACTCTCTGGGACCTTGGTATTTTAAGCTTGGTGAGCTGATGCAGCCCATGCTACCTTCCTATGAGCTCCATGTTTCCCCGTTGCCCAGGCAACATGCAGCCCAGAAGCCCAGCCTTCCAGTTCTCATCCTCCCCCTGACAACAGTTTGCCACCCTGGATTGGCTCCCAGAACCCAGCTGTCCTCAGGCTCTTAGCTAGTTGGTCCTCATCTCTGCCCCTCCCCTTGAATAGGGTCACTCCACAGGGAGACACAACAGAGGCAAGAGAGGATCTTACTGGTAGGAGAAGCCGGGATAAGGGTGATGGGACAAGGAAGGGGAACAGGGACTGAGACTTTTCTCCAAAAGATATCTGAGAGGAATGACTTCTGTACAAAGAGCTTGGGTAGTGGACAGAGACAACCCCTCCCTCCTGCACTAACCCCAGCCTTGTCTGAGATTCCAAGGAGACCAAGAACTGAAGCTTCTGGAAAGTGTAAGAGACAGATTTGGAGGCTAGAATACTGACTCTCCTAGATTCCCAAGTTCAATTCAGGTGTCAGGAAAGCATCCTGTGTCCAGATCTGGATCACAGTCCCCTCCCCTCCTCAGGACAGCAAGGAGATGCCACCTAAAACTAAAGAAAAAAGAGCACAGAAGAAGAAAAAGAATTTGGGTGCTGGTGAGTCAGGGTGGGTAGAAGTGGGTGCCCCCTATTCTCCATGCTCCTTCCCAAAGACCAAGCAGATGTTCTCCAGAGAGAATTCAGGCCCTCAGCATGACTAGATGAAACTTTCCTGGCCCTGTCCTCTCAGATCTTCACATTCAGGTTCCATGAAAAGGGGGTAGTAGGGAAATCAGTCTTCCTTGAGCTCCTTCTGTTTCTTTACCCCCATATATATTCATCACAAATATTTCAGATACCTGTTTTGTGCTGGTCAGTGAAAACACAATGGTGAATTCAGTGGACAAGGTCTCTGCTCTCAGGGGCCCATATTTAGTTGTTCTCGGATTTCATGTGAGAAGGAAGTCCAGGGTCTTGGGTGAGGACAGGATAAGCTGAGGTTCTCCAACCCCATCCACTGCCATCTTGCCAGGGCAGATGTGGAGGCTGAATCCAAGTACAGACTGGCCAGGCTGGAGAAAGAGTTGCTCCAAGACCACTTGGGTAAGCAGGGTAGAAGTTCTGGGAGGCATCAGAGGCAAGGCAATGCATTTCTGTATCCATCATCTCCTTGAGGGACAGGAGGGTTGGAATTGGGGGGGGGGGGTTTGATAAGCTGACCCCTAACCATACCCAAGTAGAAAATACTGTCAGTAGTTGGGATTGTAGGAGAGAGGTGGGCAGTGAGGGAACTAGGGGACTATTTGTTATAGTCAGAACATGGAGGGAGTTTTTGCTTCTTAGTAATGAAGAGCCTGTGAGAGCCTAGGTGGGGAGGGGGAAAGACAGCATAAGAGGCTGAACAGGTGGATGGAGCCCATCATGCCCATAGGGGCTGATTCAGGGGCTCCAGCCAGCCCTAAGTGCAACTCTGGGACCATTCACAGCTCTGCAAAGGGATGAGGTTCGGCGAGCCAAAGCCTCTGAAGACCAACTGAAGCAGAGGCTGCAAGGGCTGGAGGCTGAACTGAAGGAGGCCTACAGTGAAAGGAAGGCCATATATGCAGGTGTGTGGTCAGTGAGCCCATGGGCAGGAGACCTAGAAGAGGGGCAGACAGGAGAACTTCAGTCTGTCAGGCCAAATCTCAGCCTTCCTGGCATGGCACAAATCAGGTAGGGATCCTAGGCAGGGACCTTCTTGAATCCTAATGTCATGTGCTTGATAGTTTGTAGATTAAAAATGCAGTCATTGACCATCTCACATTCATCCCTTGGGCATGACTGGGAAGAGGGGCTAGACACCCCATTGTGAACTGTGAAGGGGGAAGGGAGGTCTAATCTCTACAGAGTCTCACTACAGAATCACATCTCACCAGACCATTCAGAAGTCTCCCCATCTCTCTTCACCCACAACTTCATCTCCTTTTCCTATCCCTCCATCCCCACCCTAACCCCCACTGGACTCCCACAGAGATGAGTCGGCAGCACCGGGCCCTGCAGAAGGAGATGGATACCTGCAGCAGACACCTGGAGGAAGAAGTGAAGGGCCTTCGGGAACAGCTAGGTGGGCTTCCCTCCCTCAAGCCCTTTCTCTCTAAGGGTCACTGATAGACCTTCTCTAAAAAGACCATGAGGCCTGGCTCTTCTATCATGTTCCCCACTGATGCTCCTACCAATGAGGACTGGGGCAGAGAGCTCAGGATGGCAATAACCTCTCAATTCTAAAAGGAGGCTCACACACATCATTCCTGAAGGTTAAGTATCAGCCTGCTTCCCCTGTTCACCTGGTCTCTCCAAATCCAGGCCTGGTATGGCACTGTGGGTTAATGTGCTAGACTGCAAAGTCAGTTTGAACCACAAGGTCTGTGGTTCAAGCTCACCAGTCAATCCTTGGAAACACGGGGGTTGGAACCGACTCGACGGCACAACATCTGTAATGAGCTAAACATGCTCCCTTTTAGTTTAGCTGCAGTGGGATTTTCTATGAGATTAAGGTTGAATGTTAGACTTATTCCTTCCTATATCTCCAAGCCATAGATCATAGTTGTTAGGGTTAGTTCATGGTGACCCTAGAGTAGAGCTGTTCCCTAGGGTTTGTAGGGCTGTGACTTCCTGAAAGCAGACTGCCAGGCTTGTCTTCTGAGACACCTCTAGGTGGGTTTGAACTGCCAACCTTTTGGCTAATAGGCTCTTAACCATTTGTGCCTCCCAGGGACTTCTGGAACATACAAGGGACTTCAAAAAGCTTGTGAGAAATGAAATGAAAAGATAATGGCATTTTTCCTGAACTTTTGAAGCCCCCTTATAGCAGATCATCAATAACTATTTGATGAATAAATAACACCACCACCCCCACTCCAAAGCAGTAAAAACATACAAACAGGAAGTCTTTGCTCTCTTCCCTCTTGCTTACAGGATAAAGTTGAAACACCTTCTCATGATGGCATACAAGATAATTCACAATTTGACCTCAAACTTCTCTTAACCTACAATAGGTTTAGCAACAGATATTCGGGAACTGACATGCAATCCCTGGGTTCCTTTCCTGCACTTGGTCTTTGCTCAAATTATAAGTGACCATGTATTGTGTACTTCCTATAGATCAGGTACTTGCTCATACACTTAACTCTCATAGCAACCCAGAGAGGCATGTCTTATTCTCTCTTTTAAAATGAAGAAACTGTTTCTTCATCTTTAAGGGGCAAGGGGCACCTCAGGTTTCACAGGTAGTAAGTGATATGAGACTTGGGGCCTATAGTGGGCCTTCAGCTCTTTACAGGGATCACATGAAAGTGAGTGGCCCTAGGGGAGTCTGGCATGCTGCCACTCAAGTTTTACTCCGGGTACCTTTGGAGACTCTGTGCAAGGGTGGAATGTTGCCATCCTGGCTTCTTTCTTCCTCTGCCTCCCAGAGACATGCCAGAGGGAGGCTGAGGCTGCCAGGAAAGCAGCTGAGAAGGCCCTTGAGGAGCGGGACCGGACTCTGGCTCAGCTTCGGGCCCACGTGGCAGACATGGAGGCTGAGTATGAGGAAATCTTACATGTAAGCATGACCCAAGTGCCCCACACTCCACCAACGGCCCTCAAGTCCCAGCCAATATAATGACAACTAGACCAGGCCAGGGAGGTAAGAACAAAGCATCTCCCTGGAGAACCCTGCTTCATTTTGAGGGCCAAAGGCAAGGAAATACAAAGGAAACCCCCATGGAGAACAAGTACAATAAGAAAACCCTGGCTAGGAAAGCTTCCAAATTTGCTAGGGTATCCCCCCAGCCTTGCTCTCTTCCCTCCTGGAGACTGGCTGAAGCTTGGTATCTGCAGGACAGCTTGGACCAGCTCTTAGCCAAGCTAAGAGCCATCAAGCCTCAGTGGGATGGGGCTGCACTGAAACTCCATGCCAGGCACAAGGAGCAGCTGCGCCAGTTTGGACTCAACCCCTTGGATCTTTGAGCCTTGATCTTGAAGGCTCTCTAAAAGCCCAGTAATAAAGCTGACTTGATGTAGAACTCAATAGAACTGAGGGCTGTAGACATTTGATAAAGGGATGCCTCTCATGGGGCACTTGGGTTCCAAGCTGACCCATTACCTTGCATACTGAATGGTATGAGAGAAATGTGACAAAATCTCAACCTCTATCCCACAAAAACTGAGTTCCACTCCCTGAGCCCAGGTTCCTTTGGGTCCTTTCAAATCACCACTTCCCTGCCCCCACCAACACAAACACAGGCAGGCAGGTATGTGGGGAAAGGCCTTTTGTATAATATCAAATGTTTCAGGGACCAGGCAACCACTCCAATGGTTGTGCCCCCAGAATTCTAAGGTGCCAACAAAGAAAAGGTAAGACTAGTGTCCAGACTCCTGTAATATGAAGGGGTTTCAAAAAGGTCATGGAAAGTGGGATTAAAATACAATGGAATTTTCCCATGAGCTTTTTGAAGCCTCCTTTGTACATGTCCAGGATAATTCTAGGCAACTCCAATCCTGGCTAGCCTCAACACCCATGCTTCTCAAGTAGAACTTCATCCTTGGGGCACAACTCCCCAAAGCCCTCTGGAGTCAGAGGGGAGGGTCAACTGGGAGCAGACTCCCTTGTGGACTTTCATGAGGCCTCTCTGCCCACACCTGTCACTTGTTTGGTGGTCCCATGGGACTGGAGAGTCTTGAGCTCCAACTCTGTTTCCATCACCTCAAGTTGGTGAGTGAAGACAAGAAAGCCGTGAAGTAGCTCTGTGCCAGACGGAAGCACTATAGCACATCCAAAGCCAGAGCCCAGTCCTAAGTAGAAAGTGGCAGGGGCAGGTGATTAGGGGACCAGAAGAGTTCCTCTTCCCTCCCCACATTTGCATTGCAATGTTCAGGAATGGGGCTTGTTCCATCTAACTAAACCAGTTGTCAGTGAATTGACGTTCACTCCTAGGACCCCTTGTATACCAGAGTAGAACTGGGATTTTTCAGATGTAGATCACCAGGCCTTTTTCTCAGGCGTCTTTGGATGAACTCAAACCTCCAACCTTTTGGTTAGCAACTGAGCGTATTAATGGTTTATCCCACCTAGGGACTTCATCTCTTACCTCTCATCCCCATAAGTCCTAGCCTGCATACCCTACAGTGCCCACCTTGCAGCCCTTCCTTTCTGGCTCCCCTGGCCCTTCTCTCGCTGTTCACAGACCCATTGGTCTGTCTTTCTCCTCACCTTTTCAGACTTTGAGAGAATCCAGGCTTCCCAGCCCTACTGAGACCTGGCTGCCAGCTTCAAGCAGAGGGGTGGTTCCACCTCAGACAGCTGCAGAAGCCTTTCCAGGTCATTCTTCCCTCTCACAGGACACCCATTCACCTCCAGGACCATGTCCCCCATTCGCAACCCAGCCTGGGCAGCTGAGCCTCCTGGGGTCACCTGGAGGTGTGTGGGGTGGAATACAGAACATGGAACACCATGGCAAAGTCTGCTGAGTGTGCTAAGGTTGTGGGAGGGTGATGGAGGAATTCACTGGGAGGCAAATGATTAAAAGGAACTAAGGTCCATAGGGCACTTGTCACCTGGGAAATGAAGACATTGGGCCTACCGGCCACACAGCTGAGTCGGAAGCCATAGCCACCTCCTGGCCCCGGGTACAGGAAGCACTGGAGGGAGTCAAGCAGGACAGGGAGCACAGCTGTGTCTTCAGCTGATGGGTCCTGGGTTTCAACCAAAGGCACCTGGATAGTGTCCTGAGGAGAGGCACAAACATCTGTGCTCTCCAAAAACAAGAGTGGGGACAGGCGGACCTAGAAGTAGGCACAGAACAAACATGCTGTTTCTCCTCCACCTGCACACTGCTCCAGCCCCACCCTCAGCCAGCCCCTACCCCTCAGTTCGTACCATGCTGAAGAAGCGGTCAGCCTCATCATCGATGACAACCAGGGAGACGCAGGAGCCCTGTGCCCGGATTCTGGACACTGTTTCCTCATGGCTGAGCCCCTCCACACTCTCCCCAGCCACAGCCACCAGCCGATCCCCAGACTGCATCCCTGCCTTCTCAGCTGGCAGTCCTGGGTCCACATCCCGCAGAAACTGCCCTGCGACCAGGATAGTCTCACTGCTTCACCTCCATTGTCCCCAGTGCCACCTGAGGCCACTATTTGCACCAGGTGACTGGCCCAGGGGGTAAACAGGAGGAAGACGCTCAATAATGGGGCTGACAGATGGCTTTTTTTATGTGCAGGAGGGAGACACTTGAGTGTCCAGCCCAAGACCCACTTTCCTTACCCCCTTCCAAGGGTCCCACTCACCGGGATGACCATCAGGCCTCTTCTCCTCTCGAAGCAGGAAACCAAAACCCTGGGGTCCTTTCTCTAGGTACAGACAACGGGGCTTGGTGGGCAGTGCCCAGCCCTCTGCCAAGGGTGCAGCTAGGGGCATTCCAAGCTGGCGACACTGTTCCTCCACCTCTGGCCCTGCCACCAGCAAGGTCACCTGCTTTCCACTCTGCCAAAGCTGTGGAGACCCAGGAGAGCATCATCATTAACTACCTGAGTGGGAAGGGAAGAATGTGGCCCCCCTCGCAGCCTCTCCTCCCAGGCACAGGACTAAGGCCCAAGGGGAGGCCGTTAAGAACCAGGGCATGAAACCATCAAGGAAGGATAGAGATGAAGGCACACGATCTGAGCAGAGATTTAGGTGCCTGGAGGAGAGTCTGATGACCCCAACACCCCACGCCCCCATGGTTGGGGGAACAAGTGGCCATACCATCCTGTTGAGTTGGTTGTGAGTGAACTTCTCCACATTGACCCCATTCATTTCTAGCAGTCGGGCCCCAGTTGGTACTCCTGCCCTTTCAGCAGCTCCCCCAGTGCTCAGCACCAACCAAAAAGGACCGTGCTGCCCTGGGAGAAGAAGAAAGCACGCTGCAACCTCCTGCCTGCCAAGAGCAGGGCTTGAGAGCATCCTCTTGACCTCCCCACCAAGCCTCTAAGCTCACCATGGGTGATACTGAAGCCAAAGCCACCCTCGTCTTTCACTATGTGGCATAGCCGGGGCCGGACACCCGGGCCTAGGGTAGGACAGAAGTGAGCATCGCTACCGTGCTGAGCTTGGGCCACATCATGCACATGCCGAGCCCAAACCACCAGCAGCACCCGGGGACCGCTGGCCCGGATACGGCGCACCACCTGAACAGAAGGCAGGGGGGAGGGCAGGGGGTTGAGGGTGGTCCTTCATGCCAACTCCCCTCCCTGCCACCTACATTTTTCACCAGAGGAATTAGCTCTGTGGATGCCTTCACCCCACCCTTCCCACCTGGGAACCCCTGAATTCTGGAGGTGAGGCAGCGGTCCTTCCCCATAGTGTCCAGGAGGTGACAGTTTCTCACTCCCTGGGTTCCTGTGAAATGCTCTCCTGTCCTATACAGTGCATTCCAGCCCAACCTCACCCCTGCATAGTCTTCATGTTCCACCACATCGCTGTTCACCCCCAGGATCCGGTCTCCTTCTTGAAGACCCTGACTCTGTGCAGAGGAGCCTGGCTCCACTCTGCACACCACATGTCCAGCTCGGTCCAGCTCCTGCTGCAGGTGGAAGCCAAAACTCCTGCCCTCCTCTTTGCTCAGCAGACAAAAGCGAAGTCGCTCCAGGCTCCAGGAATCTGGAGGAGGAGAAGGGCAGCAGAAAAGGGAGGAGAGGGGGTGTGGCCCAAGACAGGTCACTGGGTGCCAGGTAGACCTTGTTCCCTCTACAGAGCACCAGACAGGCTTCCACCTTGTAAACTGTTGGATCTGGGCAGAGTGGCTGGGACAGAAGGAAACTGCCTGCCACCCCCCAAGGAATTACTCCCAGCCAAGAATGTTATCAAAGGAAGACAAAAGTGGTTACCAAGGAGATAAGGAGGGAGACCATATGGCACTGTGTGGGGGGGGGGGTGACTGCCAGGGAGTAAGGGGGTTACCAGAGAAGTTGTCTTCAGACAAGGAGAGGACTGGATTATCAATACCCAGCTTTGGGTTAAACTCAAACTTCCTGCAAGGGGGCAGGGAGGAGAAAGCTCCATGTCTGGACTTGGCTCCCTAGTCTACTTTAGGAGCTAACAGCAGCAAGAGGGATTCCCCACCTTCTACTCCCTTGCCCAACCCTTCATAGTACTTACTGAGTTAATGAGGCGGTGTCTTGAAGACCTGGGGTGAGAAGTGTTGGTGGGGAGGATTGGCACATGCTTCCCTCCAGACTCCTCTCCCCATGGTCATAAACTGAAAGGACTTAGGGGAGCCCCAGACTCAGGACTTGTCCCTCAGTTCTGCTGCAAAGAAATCTTCCCTTTCCACTGATGTCATATACACCAGAGGGGTATACCACATCCCATCCTTTCTCCCCTGTCTTTGACACAGAAATCTGAGCTTATCAACACAGGGTGTGGACCAAGAAAACAGAGATCACCTTCCGTCTCTTCTCCTAACTCCAGTCTATTCACTTCAGGGCTCCCCAGCCCAGCCTCAAGTTTGTTGTGCCCTGGTACCAGAATCTCAGCCTTTAAATCTGCCCCCCGCCTGCTGCAGTCACCCTACTCCAAAGGCTTTCTCTCAGCCTCTTCTTCCTACCTGTGACTGCTTCCATGGCTGGATCAGTGATCCAGGGCTCAGGATGGGGACAAGGTCCACTGTAACTAGCTGACCCTCCCTCCTATCCCTCAAGTCCCGCCTTCTTAAAGATGCTGCCGTGTAAGCAATGGGGTAATGGTTAACAGGGATGAAAGTCTTATCCTTTGGGGAAGTGAGCATATTCCTCTTGCCTCCATTCCTGAATCCCAACATTCTCTGGACCCTCCTCTGCTGCTGTCCTAGCAGAAAGGCAAATAGCTGATCACTGTAATTCCAAGTCTAGTGGGGAATACGAAAAAGATGCTAGAATTCTACAGTCCAGCATGACCTCCCCCTGTCCCAACACCTTTTTCACGAGGTTTCTCCTAGTATCCTTTGCACAGTGTCCAAGAATCACTTGGGTGATAATGGTTAAGGTTGTGTTTTCAAGTTGACTCTCATGAGTCTCAGTGGTTTAGCAGTTATGTAATGATGTGGTCATTCCACATTTTGCGATTTGATACACTGTAATCACTCTATGATGAGATCTGCTATGAGCAGCCATTCGGCTGAAAGGGACTTTTCTCATGGGTGTGGCCTGCATCCAATATATGAATGTTCTGATAAAGTTCTCTGGCTTTTGTGCTCACACTGGATCTTGTATCCAGCTCATCATCATCTGCCTGACATCTGGTTCTTGAGACTTGTCTTGAGCCAGTGGCCTCTGTATTGCCTGCTGTTCTTGGTATCTATTTGCCTCAGCAATCGGCTGTCTGGCCTGCTAACCTGAAGTCTGTCAACCCCTGCAGCTACATGAATCAGGAGGAGCCTTTAGACTGATGTCTAACCCACAGACTTGGGACTTGTCATCCTCTACAACTACATAAATGATTCTCTTAAAATAAATCTCTTTATATACAAGAAGGCTTTAAAAAGTTCTTGGAAAAATTCCAATGTCCTTCAATTCCATCTTTCCACAAACTTTTTGAAGCCCCCTCATATAAGATTCACTAGTTTTGAACCCAGCCTAAGACAACTTACAGCATAAAGTGGTCAGTAATTTAATCCGAATTGTCGAGAACAGCAGCAGCCAAGGAAGAAGAAGACATAGCACACGGAAGACACACAGCTTTTTAATGGCAGCAGGTCAGGGCATCCATGTGGTAAAAGAGGTACAAAAATGAAGAGAAAGCACCAATGTGAGAGGGAAATGACTGCAGGCATTCTTGGCATCCACAGATGGACATAAAGGCAGAAGGAGGAGGCTGGGTCTGGATGGATGGATGTTTAGACACTCCAATGCATCTTCTGGATGGCAACACTCTGGCATGATGGACCACCTTGGTGGCATGACCAAAGAGTCCTTGGGAAAGGCAAGGTTGGGGATGGTACTGCACGGCAATTTAGCCAACAAAATGTCAAATCCTTCGGTCCTTTCAGTAGAAGGGAGAGGAGGCATGTTTCCTCTACAAGACCAGAGCATCAGATTCCGTATCTTTGACCCTGGGAATTGCAAGCCTGAGGACAATGATTGAACATGCCCTAAGAGGCCAATTGACCCAGCTATGCCCATTTCTTTGCCTCCAGTCCGTGAAGAGATCTTTCTAGAAGGAGTAGTGCAAGACAGAAGGCCACAGAAGAAAGAGTTCTAGGAGATAGTGGTCAGGCAGCTAGGTGTCTGGACCACTCTTCAGCTTCCAGGACCTCCCAGTTGTTCCAGGAGGGTCTTGACCTCACCCTCCACTCGAAGCATCTGGGCCTTGCGCCAAGGATTAAGGGTGGCACCCCGACTATCTTCCAGATCTTGTAGCAGTAACTCAAGGTGGCGCCGGACCCGGGCCCGATCCCAGCTGTTAAGGTTCCGCTGGACTTCACTGAGAATCACCGACCAGTATTCAGACACTGCTGTCCCCTCTGTCAGTGATACCACGACCTGGGCGCCACCTTCAGCTGTGCCCCCCAAGTCCCGCAGTACCTGGCGGCCTTCTGAGCTCAGTTCATTGAAGTAGAGGCTGATATGAGAGACAAGAGTTAAAGTCATTCAGCAGGACTCTCAGAAGGAAGGGGTCAAAGGATAGATAGGCAGAAAATCAGGTGGTCTCATTGGTTGTGGAGTGCATTGGGCAAAGTGTGTCTGCAATAAGCCAGAGAAGGAGAGAGGTGGCCAAAGGAAGCAGGGACTGACACTAAAACCCCTTGAGACCAGGGACAGTAGGAATGGGGTTGCCAGGACCAAAGGAGATATGTGAGAGGGAATCAGGACAGGGTAAGAGGCAGTCACTGAGTAGGTAGGGTTGGCTCAGAACCAGAATGACAAGAATCAGAAATAGAGGCTAGGCACCAAGCCTAGCAGAGGAAAAGTCCAGTGGTTAGATGGAAGGACTGAGGGACTGGGGGACTGCCTTAGGAGGCCAGCTGAAGGACAAAGGTGATGGGACCAGGGGCAGGACTCACTGCAGCAGCTCCAGGGAAGGGTGCTCCCGGGCAGCCTTTGCCAAGGCCAGTGCTGCCGTGTCACCAGCACCATTGTAGGCCACGTTCAGCTCCTGTAATTGCTGGTTGTGGTTCAGCTGAGCAGCCAGCAGCTCCAGGCCCTCGTCCCCAAGACCAGTGTGTAGCAAGGACAGGTGTGTCAGCGAGCTGTTTCCTGCCAGACCCTCCACCAGGAGTGCCACGCCGGCTGCCGTCAGTGGATTGTTGGATAGCCTGTGGCCACAATCAACCCAAGGCTGTGAAGACCCACTGCAGATGCCTACGCTGGACTTTAGGACTTGGGTCAAAGGGATGCACAGCCCCCGGGAGGAGGAGGCAGAAATGGGGAGTGTGGTACATAGCAGAAGATAGAGACTGGGGTGAAAGCTGGCTTCTTTCCTCTTCTCCTCCCTCCTTCATTCTCCTTTTTGCTCTCTTCTTCCATCTCCCTTTCCTCCTATTCTTTACTATTCCCCTTTTTCCTTTTTTAACCCCATCCCTATCCCTGCTTCTCCCTCCCCTCTGGCTCCCTTTTCTCTTCCCCCTCCCTCCATTTTCCCTCCTCCTTCACATCCTCTTCCTCTAACTAGAATCCAGGAGTCTCCCAGTAAATCAATCAACACTTGGGAATATCCACGGAGTGCCCAGCATTAGAGTTATCCTTGGGAGGCTGCAGGAACATTCTGACACTGTTACCAGGCAACCTCCCTGGGTATTATTTCACCCCCTCATCCCCCTCCCTCCCCCAACACAGGCAAATTTTAGTCACGTGAGAAGCTTACCAAGCACCAATTGCTGGTGGCCTTGTTCCCCTGCCCTGCTGCTTATACTGGACTTGAGGGTAGGACAAAGGCTAGACCACACTGCCTTTACTTCAACACCATATGCTGGATGTATATGTAGGAGGCAGAAAACTCGCCCTTGACTTTAGGTGGCCAGAGCCTCTCCCCAGATCCCCTCCCAAGGCTCTCACCGAAGTGTGGTAATTTGGCACTGGTCATGCAGCAGTAGGTCTCGGAGGTCCCTGCAGGCCTCGGGGCCCAGGCTGTTGAGTTGCAAGCTGGAACAGGAGAAAGTTGCCAGAGGTAGAACAAGGAAGAAAGACCAAGGTAGGAATTTCACCTGGTGCCTGTGCTTTTCTCACAGCCTTGCCTCTTAAGAGTCCACACCTGCTCTTCTGTATGCGGTTGCTCCACCCACACCAAATTTCTTCACCCCACCCCCTGGGATTGCCTCAGTACCTCTGGTCCCCCTAAACTCTTCTTTCCCCATCTTTTTGCTTTCTACCCTTTCTTGCCCTCATGCCAATGCCCAGAGCTGAACCTGGTCCTTACCCCAGCTTCCGGGCACGCAATAAGACAGGCATGAGTGTCCGCAGCCCCGCGGGGTCCAGCTGGCAGGAAGCTAAGTTCACTTCATCTAGGGCATGCCTTCCGCTGCCCAGTACAGCTGCCACCACAGTGCACTTGAGAGGCGTCATGCGCACACCAGCCAGGTTGAGCTGGCGCAGGGAGCTGAGCACCTCGGCGGAGAAGCGCTGATTCTGGAACTCATAGTGGAAGAAGAGGTAGTCGAGGAGTTCCGAGGAGGGCAACACCTGACGCCCCCGAGTGCCCAGCTTCTTCTTGATGGCCTGGGCATTCTCTAGGACATCCAGGTTTTTGATTGGGCAGCCAAGCTGAGCCAGCACAGCCCGGTTGTGGGCAGAGAGAAGCCCTCCTATGAACATGGGGAAGAGTTCAAAGACTTCATCCTCAGAGGGTTCGTCTGGGTGGCGCCGGGGGCCCTCCACGCCCAGGATGCTGGCTTCAATCTGGTCCAGAACGTCATCATTGTAGTAATCCTCCTCCCGGAACATTTCCAGCACCATGGCTTGAGCCACCACCTCCCGGCTCTTACCCACCACGCGCCCAAACACCCGTGGGACCACCTGGGAAAGAAGCAAGGAAGGAATACTGGGTCTGTCTCCTGCCTTCAAACAGCAAAGCAGCACCATGGCAGAATCAGTTTAAGATCCCCACTTGACTGTGCCAGCCTAGTGAACTTGCAGCACTCCCCTGCTGCCACACCTTCCATGGCTCCCCAGTGCCCATGTGGCAAACTCTAAACATCCTAGCCTGGAATATAATTCATCATCTGACTTTTCAGTCATCTTTCAACACTTATCTCATGTACTCCAGACACTGGAACTTCTTTCTTTTTCTCCAACACACTTTCTCCCACACAATTTCAGCCTCAAAAAGGCCCAAAACTAAACCCACTGCCATCAAGTCCATTTCAGCTCACAGGGCAGGACAGAAACGCCCCATAGAGACTCTAAGGCTATAAATCTTCATAGAAGCAGACTGCCTCATCTTTCTTCTGAAGAGCAGCTGGTAGGTTTGAACCCCTGACCTTTCAGTTAGCTGCTGAGTTTTTTAACCACTGAGCCAACAGGGCTCTGATTTCAGCCCAGGGGAGAAGGAATTGTCATATGTTATGATGAATTCAGTCTGGCACTGAGCTAGTTGTCATAAATACATCACCATTGTTGACATCCACAACACAGTGACTAGGATTGAATTACGGCCTTAAAGGTGATACAATAGTTAAGCTTTCAGCTGCAAACTGAAAGATTGGCAGTTTAAACCCACCCAGTGGCTTTGCAGAATAAAGACCACAGAGAAGATCTGCTTCCATAAAGGTTACAGCCAAGAAAACCCTATGAGAAAGTTACATGGGATCATTTTTGTTGTTAAGTGCTGATGAGTCAGTTTCATAGCGACCCTGTATAGGGTTTCTGAGGAGCAGCTGGTGAGTTTGAATCAACAACCTTGCAGTAAACTGACCTCACAGTCCAGCACATTAGCCTGCAGCGCCACACCAGGACTCCATTATCAACGGGAAATTAACTCAACATGTCAAGGCCTGCATGGTTTGGCTCCTGCCCACCATGGTACTTTCAGCACCCCATCACTCACCATGCTTCTAACCTCTTGACTTTTTGCATTTCCTTAACCGTACCAAAGTTTCTCCTCCTTCAAATGACTCTCCTCCTGAGGTGCTCCCCCAAATTGTTCGCATGGTCAGATTAACTGTCTTTCATGTAGATAGGTTTTCCTTAACTACCCCTTTACCCCCACTGTTACATACTTTCATAGCATCTGGGGCTTTCCTTTCCAGACATTCACCACAATTTTTAATTATACAAGTATAGTTCCATTTACATTTTTGTATGTTCAGATGGTAAGACCAGAAAGGGCAGAAACCTGGGATTTTGATGTTTTCCCCCGGCATCTTATGTATTGCCTGGCCTGTGGCACTCAAGTCTTTGCTGAAGAAATGAATGTTTAGGAGGTTGGCAGCATCGTCTCCCATGCTTGCAGTGATTCTGAAAGGGAAGAAGGAAGGACCCATTCTTCTGATAATGACCCATGAGTTTGTTTTGTGGCACCTCCTCTAATTTCTGTCATTTATTGTTCAGATGTGAGGTTCCTGCCAGGGAGGAGAGAATCTAGTGTCCCTTCTCCCAAGAATAACCTGGTGACAAGATGAGAAAATGGCACCCTATGAAGCTGAAATCCCCAGAATCATGAAGAAACAGGTGAGGCCAGACGTCTGCGAGGTAACCTCAGAGAGTTTGAGTGTGTGACACTAACAATTCTTATGGGTTCTCAGGAGAATTCGGGGGCTTTTTGAATCCCTTCAGAAGAATACAACCTATAACCCAGGAAGGGGTGGGGTGCACAAGCTTGTGCTTATACTTAAAGAGCACTTACTATGTGTCCTGGAGTCCTTGTGTGGCGCTGTGGGATAAGCACTGGACTGCAAGGTCAGTTTGAACCACAAGGTTGATGGTTCAAACTCACCAGCTGTTTCTCAGAAACCCTACACATTGAATCGGGACCGATTCAATGGCATTTAACAACAACAATATTAAGTGCCATGTCCTGAGGTGGCTTCATGTTGGGCCAATGAAATCCGGAACAGACAAGGATTTGAGGCACAGAGAGGCTAACCACCTTGTCCAAGGTCACACACCTAGTAAATGACAGAACCTGGATTTCATCCAGGTAGCTGCATTACTGAATCCCTGCTCTTAACCCTTATGCTTTGCTGACTACAAAAAGGAAAACTTGTTGGGATTTTGCCAGCACAGATCAGGGCTCTCACTCCTCAAGACCAATATGAGTTACTAAAACATCCCTAGTGAAGACAAACATTATCTAGCAAGAACCACAGCTTGACAGACATATTCATAAAACACTATTGTTCAGTGCCATTGAGTGGGTTCCAACTCACAGCAACCCTGTCTAGGGTTTCCAAGGAGCAGCTGGTGAGTTTAAACTGCCTACTTTACGGTTCAAACCAACCTTGTGGTCCAGTGCATTATCCTGCAGTGCCATTGTTGTTGTTAAGTACCGCTGAGTCAGTTCCGACCCATAGCGACCCTGTATAGGGTTTCTGTGGAGAGGTGGGTGGGTTGGAATTGCCCACCTTGTAGTTAAACTGACTTTGTGACCTAGCGCATTATCCTGCAGCACCACACCAGGACTCCATAGCGCCATTGTTGTTAAGTTGTTGATAAGTGCCGTCAAGTCAGTTCCGACCCATAGCGACCCTGTATAGGATTTCTAAGGAGAAGATGGTGAGTTTGAACTGCCAACCTTGCAGTTCAAACTGCTTTGCAGTCTGGCGCATTAATCCACAGCGCCACACCAGTATTCCATTATGTATCCATAAATCAAAGACCATAGGATTCAGAATCACAAAATCTGTCCTCAGATCCCTGTTAATGTTATTTATTATCTGGGTGTCGAATTACTTGGCCTTTAGAAGCCTCAATTTCCTCATTTGTAAGAGAGATCATAATATCTCATTTCTAACGTTGGTGTGAGAAACAAAAGGAAGAACCCTGATAAAGCCCCTTAAAGGCAGCAGCAGAAAGTAACTCTCCTCTTCCCTGCAAAAATTTAGCACATCTGTCCTGACACAGCTCAGTTCTCTAGCATCTAATCAGGTTTCTGGCATGGACCTGCCTGCACCCAGGAAGGGCTTTCCTAAGCCAATTACCAATACCATTTATCCTCCCAGTATAAGTGAATAAAACAGCATCTGCTTTATAAACCCATCTTTGATGATTGGGTTAGGATGACTCATCCTTCCCAAAGCCTGATCACCTCTGGATAAACACACGCAATCAATTTCAGGACCTGCCAAACAGAAGACAGACCCTGGATGGCAATGACACCTGCCTAAAAGCAACAAAGGCCAGACAGAAAGATGTGACAATCATTGTTAGGGTCGTTGTGAAGTGCCGTCGAGTCGGTTCTGACCCATAGCGACCCTGTATAGGGATTCCAAGGAGCAGCTGGTAAGCTTGAACTACCGACCTTGTAGTTCAAATGGCTTTGCAGTCTGGTGCGTTAACTCACAGTGCCACACCAGACTCCTGGGGTTGTAGGATTGTCATTAAAGTCCCTGCACCCTCAAATTCCCTTCCAGTCTCCAAGTGTTCCCCAGCCTTTTGGCTTCTTTCTCCCCATTCCTTACGTTCCAAACCCACTGTCATCGAGTGGAATCTGACTCACAGCAACCCTCTAGGACAGAGTAGAACTGCCCCCATGAGGTTTCCAAGGCTGTACATCTATCTTCATGGAAGCAGATTGCCTTATCTTTCTCCAGCAGAGCGGCTGGTCGGTTTGAATGACTGACCTATCTGTTAACAGTCAAGAGTTTTAACCATTGAGCCAGTGCTCCTCCTTTATGTTCCAAAGCCAGAGTCAAGAAGAGAATCCACTTTTAGGCAGGAAGTAAGAGCTTCCTTCTGGGAGAGGACCAAGGGTAAACAGGGAGCATGAGGGCTGGTGGCCTGGGGCTCTGGGGAGGGAAGGAGCAAGGGTAAGGACTTGGGGGTTGTTACCTTGAGCAGGTTGAACAGCAGAGGCAGAGCCCGTAGGGGCAGCACCTTGGCCACAATGCCCAGCACCAAGCTGACGTCCTCCCCAACGCGTCCCACGAGATCGGCCATGTCCTTGCCCACCCGCTGCAGGGCTGTCTTATGCAAACCCAGCACGATGTAGAGGGCAGCCAGGTATTCCTGCATGGCGGGCACAGTGAAGACAAAGGTGCCTGGGTGCCCTGGCTCCACACACGGGGCCAAAAAAAACCTCAGGGCATCCCGACGGAAGACACGCAGGAGCTGAAATTCCTCTTCTGTCTTGATGCCAGACTCCAGACACCCACGGACATCCTCTTCAGAGAAGTAGGTCTTGCGAGAAGTTACCCCTTTGTGGGCCAACTTGCCCAGGGTTCGGGCTGCATAGGCCATCAGAGACACCTTGGAGGGGTCGGTGCTGTCCAACGTTTCCCCACTGAAGTTGAGGCGCAGGAAGCTGGTATAGATGCTCGTGAGGGTCTGGCCAGCAGGCGTGGGGGCATGTAGGAAATGCAAGGTGGCACAGACAAGCCAGCAATAGGAGGGCAAAAAACAGGCGGCAGCAATCTGGTGGTGCCCCTCTAGGTTCCGGGAGAGCATCTGCACCAAATTGTCACGCTGGGCCGAGGTGGCCGAGACACCTGTGCCCTCAGCGCTCTGCCCACAGTCTGGCTGGTTGAGGCGGAGCTGGAAGTAGAGTTTCTGCAGGTTGGTATCTGAGAAGCCACAGATCTCGCCATAGCGACCCACATACTTGCTGGGGATGCGGCCAATGGCAGAGGGCCGGGTGGTCACTAGAATGCTGGCCTGGGGAGATCATAGTTGAAGGTTAAAAAAAATTACCCAGTTACCACTACCAACTGCTCTGAAAGGGATCACAACAGAAGGTCCTGGAAGGGAGGCGGGGGAGGGGGGAGAGGGTGTGAAACAAACAAAACTCAAAATCATAAAAAAAAAAAAAAAAATACCTGGCTTACTGGTCATGTCGCACTGGACTGCTAACCACAAGGCCAGCAGTTCAAACTCACCTGTTGCTCCTTGGAAACCCTATACAGGGCCACTATGAGTCGGAACCAACTCCGAGGCACTTAACAATAGCAACAACTTGTCAGATAGAAACTATTGGAACCCCTGAGATTATGGCCCTTAACCGCCATTCAGGTCTGGAACTGGATTCTCCTCCACAGCCCAATTTTCAGCCAAACAATAGACACATTTATAGGGGGAACAATACCATTAGTCAGGTACACACACCTTAGCGTAACCAACCATTTGTGATCAAAAGGGCAGCATTTGCCCAAAGGCAGAGTTCAGAAAGGTTCCAATAGGAGAAGGAATGGAAACAGGCAGCACAGTGAGGAAGTGGAATGTGAGATGTTTCATTGTGGGGAGTGCAGTCAATGAGATGAAACAAAATGTGTATGATTTGTTGAATAGAAAACCGATGATATGCTCTGTAAACATTCACCCAAATCACAATGAAAAAAAAAAAAAAAAAAAGACCTGGAGTTTCTTCCCACAGAGTCCCTGAGGACTGAGTGTCCAAGGATGAAGATGAAGAGATGTTATCATTTTCAAATACCCACTACAACCCAGGGCACTGTGCTCAGTATTATATGCAATAGCTCATTTGATTGTTACAACTCAAGGGGAGAAGAAAACAGAAGCTTGGATAAGTAAGTGAATTGCTCAACGTCACAGAGCTGAAAAGACGGGAGATCGAGTTTGAATCAAGTCAGGGCCTACTCTCTTACCCAATGAACATGTGGGCACAGGACACAAGAATCCTTAGGAGGGCATCAGTGGAAGGGCAGGGCGGGGGGCACCTACCTCAGGCAACATGTATTTACGCAGTAGATTGACAACGATGGCAGCTGGCTCTTTTGGCACCTCAGGATCGCTGCAAAGCCCTGTGCTTGCCAACCGGAAGTCAAGGTTGAGACGCTCCAAGCCATGGAGCACAAAGAGCAGGCGGGACCCAGCAGCAGCCATCAGAGGCAGAACCTCCTTTAAGGGTGTGTAGCGCTGGGCCACAAGCTGGTACAAGGAGGCTGGGGTAGGGCCCAGGGATGACAGGTCCTCACAAGAGAAGGGGATAAGCAACTCAAAGTGTGGCAGTTGTCCATGACACCAGTCCAGGACCATCTTCCGCACCAGTGTGCTCTTGCCTGTGCCCACCGTCCCATATAGCACCACTGTCTGCACCTGGCGCCCACAAGCATCTGGGCCAAAGAGTTGAGACAGGGCCAGAGGGGGTAGTCCAGGCTGGGGCAGCTGATGTTCCAGAGCCAGCTCTGCAGATGGGCGAAGGAGCTCATCTGGGGTACTCTCACGGATCACAGGGTCCACATGGACTGTGTCTAGTGCAAAAGTCGGGCCAAACTGGCGCTCCTCCCTGGGCAGCCGGATGAACCACTCAGCCAGGTTCCCACGGTGCCGCTGGATAGCTTCTAGAAGGAAAGCAAGGGAAAGGGGCTGGCAGGTAAAAGAGCTTAAGGCAGGTGAGGAAGTCCCTGGGTGATGCAAATGGTTAGTGTGCTTGGCTGCTAACCAAAAGATGAAAGTTTTGAGTGCACCTCAGAGGTACTTCAGAAGAAATGCCTGGCAATCTACTTCTGAAAAATTGATCACTAAAATACCTACAGAGGCAGCACAATTCTATTCTGACACACATAGGACCACCAGGAGTTGAAGTTGACTATCAGTAACAGCTTTAGGACAGAGTAGGGAGAGTAGGGTGGTGGTAGGGTTAGGCTGGGGAGTCAAGAACCAGGAGATGTTGAAGCACAAACTGAGTCTGACACATAGCACTCCCTTAGAAAACACGGACTCTATGGAAAGTTTGGAACTCCTTTAGCAGAACATGGGAGTCACTGAACAAGTGATGCTAAGCTGGGCTGACTGGGTCATAGATTTCTGTGTGCAGTTTTAACCTGACTGCTGAACTCAAAGTTTGAAGGTAGGGATGGCATATCTCCACTGACGCTCTGTATGTAGTAAGTGTGCTGTACATGAGTGGTATAGGAGGGATACGTGGACAGATGGACAATGGGGCAAGAGAGGATGCAAGGGACCACTGATGGATGATGTCAGCAGGTCCTCTACTATTCCCTCATCCTGCTTGTCCTTCAGGCTGACTGAGGAGCCAAACCCTTTACCAGCTGCAGAGGTGCTCCGATACAGCTGTCCATGTTTCCCTGATGGGGGAGCACTGTCGGCTGAGCTTCCATGGTGGCGTGCAAAGGTTCTGGGAACAAGAAGAGGGTGTAAGCTGGATACAGATTATCAGCCCCACATAGTCTGTGGGTCCAGCTCATCTACTGGCAGAGGCCATGTCACCAAGGGGCAGAGCGGCAGAGTACCCTAAGCATGAAGGGCTCATTGTTAAGCAAGGCCACAATGGGTCTCCCCTTGGAAGGCAAGGCCCCAGGAGAGATCTCATGTGGGGACTCTGCAGTGTCTGTCTCTTTGTTTTAATCAGCTTATTTTTAATTTTCTTGATTTTATAATAAAAGTTTTCAGTAAAATCTTAGTAAGAATTATATTAGAGATTTGAAACTTGTTTTTAGGCACCTTCACACCATATTCAATCATGCGTAGTCCTAAAGAATGCTTTTCACACTAACAGTAGGTTTCACCACTAGGAAAAACCAGCTAAAGTTTTTGCCAGTCCAGGTTTAAGATTACATTCAACAATCCGTGTAGTTTCGGTCAGGGACATCAAGACCTCTAGAAAATTAGCTAAAAATGCAATTTAGGGCTAAGGGAATAGTAATAGATCATAAGCAGAAATTTAACTAGATGTTTTGTATAGAGAAGTTTTTATAAGGAAGTTGTTCCATTTCTTCTTAACTACAAAACTTTAAATGCTTCTTGTTTTTCTTGTTTAATCAATCATGAGAAACAACTGTGTTGTCAGTTACCATAGCAAATAATGTTTAGGTATATGTTGTGATTAATGAATCTATAGAAAATAATAGGTGAAGGTAGAAATGGGAGTTAAGATTTAGAATTATGTTTTAAGGTTTACCTGACATTTTAAGAACAATAAGGTTTGCTTACAGAAATCAGATATTGTCTAACTACGTAAAGGGGAACAAGGAAGATTTCGATGCTCTATATTGAAATGATTAATATGTATGATTTAGACCACTACTTTAAAAAGAATGATTAATAGATTAATGGTATAGAGTAGTATAAAAGCTGTTTGAGAATCTGAAATAAACATAGGAGAAGATTCACCATTCATCGAGACTCATTGATTTTGTCATTTCTTCGCCAACGCCACACATCTCTCTAGGACCCCATAATAAGATTGTCGGGGCTGGCCCCCCATAATCTAGACCAGTGGATTTCTGGTTTCCTGAAATCCAGAACTAATACTAGTCACCAAGTTGAGAGGCCTAATTAAACTCTCACACCCTCAAGACTCACCCATAGGTCTGAAGCCCCTATCTACCTAGAACTTTGGCTGGCCACTGCCAGTCTCCACCCCACTTCCCAGAGGGCCTCCTTTGGGCTGACCACTATGACTTCTACTATACATTTAAGCCAACTTTCTCTCAGGTCTGCTTGCTGACTCCATACCTCTCCACCCAAGAATGCTAGCTCCCCTTAATCCTGCTTCTAAGGATCAAGGTAGCTCCAAGTCCTGATCCTTCCCACCCTATTGTGCCTAGATATATTTTAAGGTCTGATACCAAGTCCTCACCTATGGGGTCCAAGGGGACATTCTCCTTTCAGAGGCCAACTCCAGTAGATCAGAAAGGGGATGCGTTCATCTACAGAGAAAAGGGAGATGGAAAAATACCATATACAGATCCTACTCACATTTTCCCACCAAGACACAGAGCCCAATTGCTGTCAAACCTCCCGTTATTAGTTTTCATTGCAGTTACTGTACAAATCTCTATTTCATCATATAATTATTTGATTAACAATCACCCCATCTCCATCCCCCACAGACGATGAAGCCCACAAGAGCAGGGATTACATCTGCTCTTGTTCACAATTACACACCTAAAACATAGCACAGGGTCTGGCACATAGCAAGCACTCAGTAAATATTTGTTGAATGCAAAATTAAATTGGTTAAGCGTGCCTGGGCTTGTGTAAATGTAAGGGGCCCTCAATGTTCATTTAGTTCTAATCTCTAATTTTTAGATGAGAAAAAGGGGAAGCTCACAGAGATGAGGTGGCTAGCCCAAGGTCAAGAGCTAGGAAACTGCAGAGCTGGGACAAATGCACCTGGTGTCTGGATCCCTGATCTCTTGGAGGCATAATTGGGACCCTGATGAGGGAGGGAGAAGTAGGAACAAAAGCCTCTGCTTCCTGCTCACCTGGTGGCTGGGTTGCTCTTCCCAGACCAGAGCCCCAAGAGGGTCTAGGCAATCGGCAGCCCCACCTCATAGTAGGAGAGAAAGATCAGCACCCAGGACACAGCACCCCCTTCTATCTTGCTTCCTGTAAGAATGATGTGTAAATGGAGGGTAGTCTCTGTGCCAGGGTCTTCCTTCCCAAGTCAGCCCCCTCCCTTAAATGTCAGCATTGCTGGAACCTTGTCCTGGCTTATAGCTCTCTTCCATTTCCTACACTTGCCACCTATGTGATCCCATTTCTCTCTTACCACCTGTTGCCCTTCTCCTAAATTCTAGCTTTGTACACTACTTTATTTTTCCCTTTTGCTGCCAGCAAGTCAGATAGTAGTTCTCTGTGTTTGTTTTTGGTGGCTTTTCTGAGCCTAGAATTTCCAGTAATGATTATCTATTCCCCTCTGCCTTTGTTGCTTAGTTCTTGGGCCCTTTAGCTCAGTTTTTCCCATTCTACCTTTTCTATGACTTTCATGTAAACTACTTTTGAGGCTGGCACCAATCAATAAATGAAATTAACTTCCTGCTTGACATCTCATGAATCTTCAGCCAGAAACTTCATGCCTGCAAAACTCAATTCATCAGTCTCTCTCCTTTTAGTTTAATACCACAAGTCTCCCCAACCACACAATTTAGACTAGAAAACTGACTTGTTTTCAAAGCCTTCTTACCCGTTCCTTCAGTCAGTCTAAACAGTCCTACCAGTTCCTGCTCCCAAAACTTTGCCTGACTATCTCTATTGCCTCAATCAAGGGCTAACTCAGCCCCTCCCAGGGTTTACCAGGAAACGCAGTCTCCTCATTGGTCTCTCTGCTTCCGGTTTCACCTAATTTCAACCCTTCATTCTAGCCACAAGACACCTTCCTATAATCCTAGGTTATTTATAGAGTCGAAACACAAGTTATTCCTTGGATTAGCCCCCACTGGTACCCCACGAGATTCTTGCTCATGCTTTCCTAACTTTGTACACTTTCCTCATCTTGAAATTACTTATCTCCTCTGCCAGATCCCACCCAATCTTTTAAGACCTTTCTCAAAGGTCGCCTCTTTTGGGAAACCTTTCCTGATCCCTCTGATTGTTGTTGTTAGGTGCCATCGAGTCGGTATTGACTCATAGAGACCTTATGCACAGCAGAACGAAACACTTCCCAATCCTGGGCCAAGATCCCTCTGAGCTCGTTTACAAATGGAATGAGCTCCTATTGGACGTCTGGCCTCCTGCATTGAGGTTGTGGCTCCTTTTACCGGCATTAACACATTTAGGGAGAATTGGATTGGTGAGGACAGCCAGTAGAGGGGGCTGAATGGGGCTCGGATCAGATCCCAGAGTTAGGGAAGGATTAAGAGGGTCTCTGTGAGATAAAATCAGAGGCAGGGTCACTGAGTTAAGATGGGACTCCCGGGCAGCGAGAAAGGGTGTGGTACAGAGGAACAAATACAGGAGCTGTGGGTCCAATGGTCCAAAGCCCTCCCATAAAACTGGGTCCCAACTCTCTTAGTTGCTACTGGTTTTTGAGACCAAGAAGAAGACCCCGCCAAAATGCCCACCATCAGCGCACCAGCTCAGCGCTCTACTTTCCCAAACCGAGTTCAGTGGCACCTGCCCAACCCCCACCCAGCCCCTTCCGGGCCCAGCTCAAACCCCTAGCTAGGCCAGGAGGGCCACGGAGCTCGCCAGACCTTTACCCACAGCTGCCCGGGCCCCGGGAGCCCGTTAGCTGGTGACCGGGACGGTCTGCAGGTCAGAAGCAAGCGTGTCCCCGCTGGCTCCCAGAGTCCCCAGCTCGGCACTGCGCGGTGCTGCGCTTCCTGACCGCTTCTGCCCGCCTCCTCCCAGCCCTGCCCACCCTGGCATCCGGCTCGGGCAACTGGCGCGAGAGAGGTCAAGCCTAGGCATTGGGCCCCGTGGGTTTAGGAGGAGGGGGACAGCGAGAGAGGGGCGAGTTTCCCCAGACAGCAAGCCCGGAACAGGGACCCCTCCCTTCACCCCTCTTGCCAGGGCTCAACTCTCAATCCGGCGGACCCCGCCGCTCCTACTGCCCTCTGCAGGTTACCAAGTGCCAGTCACATCCAATTTCCTCATTACCAAGCGCCCAGCCAGGGCTTGCTGCTATCCCCATTTTACATATGAAGAAACTGAAGCGCCAGAAGGTGAATGACTGGCCCAGGTTGACCCAATTACGAAGTGGAAGAGCAGGAACAGAATCTATGACCTGTTTCCCTACCTCACCCCTGGATCTTCCTAAGCAGGGGTGAGGTAGGTAGGGTAGCGGGCGCCTGGGACAATCTTGACATTGCGCCCCTAACCCTCTTAATTTCGAGAAGCAGAGACGTTGATAGCGCCTTCCCTTCTTTTGTCAGGCTGCCTTGAGCAGGCACCTTTCCTATTTGTGACCTCTCAGAATGTCAACTTATCTGGCGTCCCTTTGACCTTGCACTGGAGGCAAGTGCTTACCTCTGCCCACTCCCGCCCCTTGCTATGCCTCTGAATGTCTACAGTGCTTGGGAAAGGATGTTGTACCATGACAGAGTTAATAAAAACAGCACCGTGGTGCCCCCTTTTAAGTTTCTGTGCAAGTATCCAAGAAAATGCTCAAAAACTCATGGAGTCATGTCCAGACAATATGAACATCAAAAAGTGTGACAGTAGTGTATTATATTATAGAAGTCCTGGTGGAGTGCTGTAGGATAAGCACTGAACCTCAAGGTTGGTTTGAACCGCAAGGTTCAAACTCACCAGCTGCTCCTCACAAACCCTATACAGCGTAGCTATGTCGCTATTGTGTGGTGTTCGGTACCGACTCATAGAGACCTTATGCACAGCAGAATGAAACACTGCCCGATCCTGGGCCAACCTCACTACTGTTGCCACGCTTGAGTCCATCTATGCTGCCACTTTGCCAATCCATCTCGTTAGGGGTCTTCCTCTTTTTCTCTGGCACTCCACCTTACCAAACATGATATCCTTCTCCAGTGACTGGTCCCTCCTGACAATATGTCCAATATATGAGAGATGAAGTTTGGCATTCTTTCTTCTGTCCTTCATTACCTCCTCAGTCTACCTCCCATTAGAGGCATTCTTGGGTCTTCACTTCTGTACCTGGCCATCTTAAAACTCCAGACATTTGTGTGTGGCCTCTGGTCATTTGGTCAAGGAAGGAGGAAGAATGGAGGATGAATGACAGTTCCCACCTTAACCTGCTCTTCCTGTCTGACACCCAGTCATGGCCTAGCCTTAGGGCTTCTGGATCCTCAAGGCTCCTACCCTTATCTCTTTACTTCAACAGTGGGTACACCCAGTGCCCACGCGGGCCCCAGTGGAGGAGCCACCCACCACCCACAGTCAGAGCACACTTCTACATGCAAGCATCCATGTGCAATATGCAACCAACAGAGGTGCCCAATGGGAAATTTCCATTGCAGGCCTGGGAAGAGGGTTGTGTGACCTCTCGGCTCTGAGGGATAATGCGCTGGACTGCAAGGTCAGTTTGAATGGCAAGGTCAGTGGTTCAAGCTCACCAGTCACTCCTCGAATGCCCTCTACAGGATCGCTATGAGTTGGAAACAGCTTGATGGCACTTAACAACAACAACAACTAGCCTCCATCCAGACTGAGGCAGTATTAGTCATTTAAGCATTCATTCATAGGATTTGGGGTACATGGTTAGTACTGAGTACTCTATGCACACGTACAAGCCCAACTCTGAGACTGTCAACCCCAACAAGCACACAGGAACAAGACCACAAATCCCAGGCTTTGGATCAAGAGGTAGAGCAAGAATGCTTCTTAGAAGGGAGGGTGATGAGACTTTGTCTCAACTTTGGATGCATTATCAGGCGTGAGGTAGCCAGGGTAAAGAATGCCTGGAAGAAGTCCCTTCCAAGATGGACTGACACAGTGGCTACAACAATGGACTCAGGACGAGACAGTGTTTCCTACGGTTCTACATAGGTTCCCTGTGAGTCAGAACTGACTCTACAGCATTTGACAACAAAAATGTGTAAACTGGCATTTAAAAAAATAAGTCAGGGATGAGTAAGGAAGAACACTTCAGACACTGCATAAAACAAGCATAGTTGCATTTTAAGAGAAGTTCTTAAAAAGTTCTTAGAGTAGAATGGGGGACTAGTTGAACAACCCTAAAGAATGTGATCTCAGAGATGACATTGCAGGCCTGGGGCATTCCTCCAGCTTCATTCCACGTGCCAAGAGAGGCAAGAGCAGATTCCACCTCTTGTTTAAAAATAATTTATTTTTTGTTGTTGTTGAGAATATACACAACACAGTGAAGTCTTTAAAAAAAAGAGAGAGAGAGAGAGAAGAGGAAAGAAACAGAGAAAATCTGAATTCCATGAAAATTTGTGAAGCTGTTCTACATTTTCTCCCTTTTAATCAGGATCGTGCTATAGAACCTTTGGTCAAAACATTCAGTAATGATAGCCGGGCACCATCCAGTTCTAGTCTCATGGCAAAGGAGGCTGTTGGTAAGTGCTATCTTAGTTCTCTAGTGCTGCTGTGCCAGAAATACCACAAGTGGATGGCTTTAACAGATAGAAAGTGATTCTTTCACAGTTTACAAGGCTATACATTCGAATTCAGTGTACTGAGTCTGGGAAAATGTCCTTGCCTCCTTTCAGCATCTGGAGGCCCAGATTTCCATGTGTCTTGACATCAATCATTCCCTGGATTTAGGAGTTTATCATGCAGGAACCCCAGGTACAAAGGATGCACTTCTCTCCAGGCTCTTCTGTCTTAGTGGTAGTGAGTTCCTCTTTCTC